TAACGTTTGCTAATTGGAATTTCCTAATTGGAGTGGACGTTCGTTTATTACGTTTCCAAATTGAACAATACAAAATCTTGACCTCGATCGTATTTTTTAAAGAATGCAATTAATCTTATGTTGACAGATTTTCTGCATAATTATTACGTTTGTTGATTGGAGTGGATGTTCGTTTATTACGTTTGCTGATTGAAAGTTTGGCGCAATCTAAATATCCCCACCGACCGACGGACGCAAAGTCGAGATCTCAACAATACATAGATCGCGCGGAAGACTGGGCCGAGTAAATCGCGTTATCAGTGTCAAGAATAGTGTGCCGCCCATTGAACTATAAATAAACTGGAAGGCTAACTGCTATGATGAAGGCCTATGATTTGATGAAGCCAAAATAGTTTTTCTGAGTTATGAGCAGAAATACTTGACCCCAAACGTTGGGCTATATATCAAATTGAAGCTATTGAAAATTTCTATTTGGTGTGGAAATTTCACGACTTCAGCGAAAAGAAAAATATTTTAAAAATACAAAAACAACTGCAAAACGGCAAATTATCGGTAATTATGTTTGTAATTTTTTGATATTTCCCTTTTAGCTAAAGTCTTGAAATTTCTACACCAAATAGCGTTTTTCAATAGCTTCAATTTGATATATAGCCCAACGTTCAGTGTTGAGTATTTCTGCTCATAACTCAGAAAAACTAAAATGCACTGGCTTCAATTTCCCCCCCTGAGTTAGCCTTCCAGTTTATTTATAGTTCAATGGTGCCGCCTCGCTGCGCTCGGCAGCAACTATTACAGTACAGTACAATATGGCATAATTCAATACAAAAACGATTCGAAGAAGCAGAAATCTTAAAATAACTAAAAATGTTCGTATTTTAAAATGTAAAGGGTTTTATCAAAGTTCAGTTCAATTCCGTTCATTTCAAATCATAGCTGAAGTATCAATTTTACAATCTGTTCTTTATTCATAATAATGTATATAGATTTAGATTCGGAATCACTTAAAGAGGATGTTCAAGCAACTAGCAGTATAGAGTATGGTGTTCCATCGCCGCCAAAACCTTTCATTTTTCTAATCAATGCAACAATCATAACACTAAGACACTAACATCACTCAAATCTGCATGTACAAATCAACTATTGTATCCGAATAAATCTTCACTCTTACTCTGTTCTATGTATATAGGTTTGAGTGGGGGTATATCTCTATACATAGCAGTACATGCAGATGATTAATAACGCTGATTAAACTGCATGCACAATATGTTTCTCATGCACCATCACAATACCGTATATATAAACCCTACTAACTGCTGTAGGGAAAAAAGAGGGATGATATGTGTAGCATGTGTACATGCAGTTACTTATTATGTCTGTTGGCAACTTAGAGCAAGGTAGAGCATATCATGGACTAGAGGTGTGTTCGGATCGGATTTTTTTCTCTCGCATCAGATCGGATTTTGGTAGTTTTTCCATCGGATCGAATCGGATTTATTTTTCCTATTGCCTATGTATCAGATTTTGTAATTTAACGTCATTAAACTCGCAAAAACACAATTAATCTAGCACTTTACGTCGACTTTTGCCTTTTGCTTCATAATTATGGTTTTAGAATTTTAAGAAAGCACAATATCTCCATCAAATTTTTCTTCGACCGTGGATAATTAAAACAATTTGGATAGTCCATACTCCATAGTCTTTGTATCATCCATGCTCCAACTAACATTTATTTGAAACATGTTAGTTTACCCTATTCCCGCTTCCCATTATCTGTGCTGTTGTTTTATTTGTATGCGGATTCCTCACAACAGACATAAGAATACTTAATTATGTTTCTTTGTTGGTTTTACATTCGCAAAACATTTTCAATGGCAATGCGCGTTTTGGCCGTTGTCAATCTGCCATGATTTTGTTTTCAGCATGTTGACACTGTAGATAATTGAAGTTATATATATATATATATATATATATGTAACATATGCTTTTATACACCACAGATCACATCACTGTTAGGATATTTCAGATTGGATTGGATATGATTGCGATTTCTAGCATCGGATCGGATTTAATAAAAAGATTTACAGATTGGATCGGATTACGTTTTTTCAGCTTCGGACCGGATCGGATTCAAAAGGTGGACAAAACGTCGGATTCAAAGAGGCCAATCCGATCCACATCTCTAATGTGAACTTTTCTCTATTGTTCATTATTCAATGATAAAAATTGCAACATCTATAATAATACTAATAATATTCTACTTTGTCTGTGAAATGTTACGAGTCCCTATACATAACTTCCCAAATTAGTTTTATCTTTTCAGACCTTGGACATGCAATGTACTCTACAACCTTTGTTTTTCGAGTTCTAATTAATTCATTAGTATGGACTATGGTCATATCCGACCAAAATGTGGGTTAACCTATCATATTGTGTGAGTTTTCTGGTAAACTACTGTATGAATGAATATTAATAACAACTGACCAACTTTCTGACAGTTTTTTTTGCTCTGGTTGTTGGCAGTCATGAGTAACTTGCTTACACACTTTCTGATTGTCGACTCAAAGTAGCTTGAATATCTGAATTCTTTACAGACATGATATTCATAAGTTTTGATTATTTATTGTGTTCCTTTATGTGACAATTAATAACTGGTTTGATCTTGAATATTGTTTGTTACATTAATCTCACACTCACATAGTTTTTCCACAGTGTGCTCACTGATGAGCTAAATGTGAACATTTTCTTAGCAAGCCTTATGTACATAATGATTTAATTAATGATGTGCTTGTCTGTATCATGATTTGTCGCAGTATATGTTGTTTAAACAAATTTGACCATGTTGGTATGTTTGCCAGAATCATAATATTTTTTTACAAAGTCAGTGTGGTTTTACAAAGTCAAAGTCAAAGCACAGTGCCTTTTAAGTACATTACCCTCTCCCCCTGGTCTTGCTACACACCTGCCTATAAGTTTGAAAATGGAAGCAATATTGTTCGACTATTCAGTTATTATTAATAGCACTTTATTTTTTATAATTCATATTTATAAGAAATATGGAATATTGTCTGAAATAGCCTCAACCCTCAAACTCTGACTGACTGGCAGTTGTTGACTGAAGGTATTAGAGGTGTGCAAATCCGATCCATATCGTTCGGATTTCGGAACCAAAATATTCATTTTAGATCATATCGGATTGATAAAGTTGTTTCGTAGTCGGATCGGACTTCGATATCCGATATAAAATGAATTAATTATCCACACATTATCGTAAGAATTAATTATCCATGCATTTATTAAAGCATTATCGCGATTGGCGCTGCATTATTTGTTTGATACTTCAATTGGACGTCACTTTGTCAGCTTCTTGACATATATTTCTTGCTTTTATATTTATTTGGTTAATAAATATTTCAACTTGAATGAGAAATTTATTTTATTAAAGAATTCTTCGGATCGGATTGGAATTCTTTATCGAACTTGGATCGGATTCGGATTAGACAATTTCGGATTGGATTTTAAACATTAGGCAATTGTCGGATTATAAACGTCCAATCCGATCCGATGCACACCTCTAGAAGGTATGTTTATGAACCTCATACCCAGGGCCTGGGCTTGCTCGCCCGATTTTTTTATATGGCCGCTAAAACAGACAAGGAAATCAGGCGGGCAAGCCCTGTGTATGAGGTTGTATGTTTACATGGTGCAATTTGTTATGTACGATTCATATTCTGGCATGCACAAACAATAAGCATGTGTAAAGTGTTGCATTTGAAATTTTGCCATAAACTAAATAAGGAGGGATTGTAGTATCAGTAGTAATTTCATATGCCAGAATACAAATCGTACAATGTAAACAACAAATTGCAACATGTTTAACCCATTGAGCTGCAATGTGCTCCAGTATGCCCTACTTTTTTTTTATTTTAGTTGTCTAACGCAAGACAATTTTACTCATCAATAGGGAAGCTCTGCAGCTTAATGGCCGGGTTAACCAAAAAATCTGACAATGTCTCTAGGTAACCCATTGAGCCACAGTACACCCTACTCTTTTTTTACTTTTCTAACGCCAGACAATTTTACTCATCAATGGGGAAGCTCTGCAGATAATGGGTTAACAAACCTTGATTGGCCGATCCAACAATATGCACTTCTACCCTTACAATTTTATGATGACCTTGGTGCATTATTACACTGGAAATTGAATTTCTTGAATGAGTTTGAAGTATTTGATGATACCTTACTGACTTCTTGGTTTTGCCTATGATCTTGGCGTAAATGTTGCAATTACGCTGTCACCATGTTCCTAGCCAGTGCACTTAATTAAGAAAGCCATTCACTCCCCTGAAAATATGGTGGATATTCAAGGGGGTGAATGCTCTCACAAGTGCACTGGCTAGGGACATGGCAAGTCACAAGTGCATTTTGATGACAAATAGTTGCATATTATGTTGAGTCGGTCTTCTGTACGCCAGAGTGCATTCCATGCACGTTTTGTGGAAGATCTTCGGCGTGAGTTTTGAATTGTTGGCGCACAATCACGTCGAGGTTGGCGCACAATTTTTGAGTTTTGGTGGTTGGTGCAGCATCAAATGTTTAAGCGATACTTTGAGTATTAATAATCGCCTGGTGATTGGATTGGCCTCTATAATTCTTTAGGGACTCGAAAAATTTGTGTTCCTGGTCAGTGTAATATTACTAAATGGTGGTTATAATTAACTTGTGATACAACAGTAACAACACTCATAATTGCTCATCAGCAAAACATCTTAATCATCAATTACACGCCTTTTTAGCAAGTTTTAATTTTGAAAAACTAACTATTAATGAAAAATTACGGTGCCCACGATCAGCCAGCGCACAAGTTGACCTCACTTGGCGCACGGCAACACTACCTCAGATTATCTTCGGCATGAGGTTTACACAGAATGCACCCTGGTCTGTACGGTCTCTTCTGTGACCCAACTTCCATCGGCACCAATACACATAGAAACCTGATGACTTACCTTTCCTGGCTCTTTTGAGCTCATCAAGAAACATATATGTTGAAAGATCTCTCTAAACATGTCAAATCTATTGAGACCAGTTCTAGACAACAGCACACACATACAGCCTATGGCTTGTATTTTCAATTTCATAGATGTGTTCTTTCGTGTAACAGTTGCTTGCAGAGGAAAAAGAATATATTCAACAAGCATTGAAAAATCTGTTGCATCGTTTGATTGCACATAATCTCGCAGTGCTTCTATCCTACACGATGTGGGCTCACGGGCAATTTCCACACAGATAGGACGAAGGTCGTTGAATAGTTCTGATGCAGAAGAATTCTGACTCGTGGAAGACATGATTAATATAGCTTGTACTGTTGTTTACTACATAATCCATTTATCCATACTATTAAATCTGTAAAGTGTATTAATGAATTCAAATCCTAAGAAATTCGTATATTAAAAAGCCCAAGTTTTTGAAAGAATCATTTTGACAAATGTCTTGACTCTTGACCATTGAATATTTGAATCGTCTTGACCCATTGAACTATAAATAAACTGGAAGGCTAACTGCTATGATGAAGGCCTATGATTTGATGAAGCCAAAATAGTTTTTCTGAGTTATGAGCAGAAATACTTGACCCCAAACGTTCGGCTATATATCAAAATGAAGCTATTGAAAATTGCTATTCGGTGTGGAAATTTCAAGACTTCAGCGAAAAGAAAAATATTTAAAAAATACAAAAACAACTGCAAAACGGCAAATTATCGGTAATTATTTTTGTAGTTTTTCAATATTTCCCTTTTAGCTAAAGTCTTGAAATTTCTACACCAAATAGCGTTTTTCAAGAGCTTCAATTTGATATATAGCCCAACGTTCAGTGTTCAGTATTTCTGCTCATAACTCAGAAAAACTAAAATGCACTGGCTTCAATTTCCCCCCCTGAGTTAGCCTTCCAGTTTATTTATAGTTCAGTAACAAATGGCTTTATTAGTTCAATGGCTTTATTAGTTTTATTAGTTCAATGTCTTGACTCCTCCGAAAACAGCGTACGAATCGGGTGGAGAAATTCGCGCCAAACTATATTCGGCGGCCATATTCGACTGTTTATTTGGATGTTGGAATATAAAATACAACACTCTGAATTCTGAAATATTTCTTTGTTTACTTTCAAGCAAAACGCGGTATGTATATTGTTTATGTTATGTGTTGAAATTTTTGTAATAGGGTCATCAACAAGTATGAAAATTTATTTGCAATGTTTTACTACTCTGAGTCCTGTGACTGTTTGACAAATAAAATATGCCATAATTTTTATTTTCACTCTTCTAGTGGATTTTATAGTTATTATTATTAATATAATAAACCGATGACTTTGTTAGCCCATATAACGTTTACACACAAAAGTCATCTCTTGATGAATAAAATCATTGGTAGATATTAGACGATGGCACTCACAATGCAGTATGCACTTTTTTTACCCAACTTGTCCTGCAACCAGTGGGGCAGTGTAGCATGGCTTGCTATGGCTTGCTAAATTTATCACAAGATAAGTTACATGAAGCAATGATATGTTGACCTTTAATATGTAAATGTTACAAGCATGACGCGTGCATGTGTGACTAAAAATAAAGTGGGGGAGGAAAAAGTCGTTGCACAAACGTAGTTAATAGTCGAATAATTAAATAACCATGTAATAACCAACAGCGTGTGGGTTTGCAATTTGACTCAAAGAAAGTAAGAAAAAACACAAGGCAAAAATCATGGAAAAAAAGACTTTCGTGTTTGAAACTCGCCATTTTAACTATGTTTTGGAAAGTTAACTGATACTCTGGAAAGTTAACTTAAATTAAGCATACTTTTTCTATTCGTCTATGAATGGGGCTTAATAAAAAGCTGGGGTTTTCTCTGGAAACGGAACTTTAGTGGACAATGGATGAAATTGAAAGCGTTTCCCGCACATATAGTGATGCAAATTATTTTAAAAAAAACAATGCTTTAATGGTGATCATTAAAGTCATCAAGCTATGAGTCATCAGCTACTATAAAAGGTCCTGACTGCCATATCCATTCCTATCGTCATTTTGACACTGCTTAGTACACTCTCGACTGAGTTCTCCGAAATTATCGTCTCAAATGTTTTTTCGCTCGATAGTTTTATCGCTTCAACTATGATTGGAAAATGGCAATTCGTTCGCGGTGGCAGAAAGGCAAGAGTTTCCCGATGGCCATGTGCCGTGTGTACGAAGGCGTGCACGACCAATGCCATTCTCTGCGAGTATTATGGCCAATGGGCACATTATTCTTGCGAATCCCTAAGCGAAAGTGAGTTCAACGAGCTGTGGCTATGTCTGTACAACATGTCGCGTCGATCGAAAAGGAGAGTTCGATTTCAAAAAATCACTCCAGCGACTGACCGAAGCTTCCCGTGAAGCTTCCGGCGCTAAAACCCGAGGCATGGAGATCCTACGACAGGCAGCCATACAAGAGAATGTGTTTCTCAGAAGTTGGCCTTTGCAGTCAAACACGAAGAAACCAGCAGCACGTTCATCCAGCAAAGTTCACCGATACTCCGAGTTGGTGATTGAAAGGTGTAGTGGTTCGTCTTCAAGGGAACCTCGGTATGTCACAGGGAATGGCAACTGCCTGTTCAATTCCTGATCTGGAGGATGTCTCCTGATCTGGAGGAAGCATGCCGGATGTGTGCAGTTGATCGAAAGTATTCCTCGATTTTCACGATGCAGGCACTGTCATCTGTGATTGGTCGGGAAATAGTATCAGTGTATCCCGCCATCAATGGTTTGCTTGACAAGTGTCTGAGCATATTGAACATTGTTCTCCTGCCAAGAATTTCTACGTCAAGAAGATGTGGCAGTAGAATTTTCCTGTTGTGGACCAGAATGGCCGGGCCCATTCCTCAACCCCGTGGTAGGACCTGGATTCCAGACCATTTCGTCCCTTTAATTGAGAAAGTTGTTCCACAGTTGAACTCATCTTCGCCCATTAACGTTGACAGTCCTCAACCCAATTTTGACATGTCTCCATTGGATCCAAAGCTATCTTGGATGAACCAAGTGGATGACCAGCAACCCTCCTGTAAATCCGAGGACCACCAATCCGCCAGCAGCGAAGTGCATGACGAGCAACCCAGCACACCACCGCAAGATAAGTCTGATTTCGACTCCGAGAACCACCAATCTGCCAGCGATGAAGTGTATGACAAGCAACCCAGCACTCTACCGCAAGAGAAGTCTCTTTTTGACTCTGAGTACCACCAATCTGTCAGCGACGAAGTGTATGTCCGGCAACCCAGCACACCACCGCAAGAGAAGTCTGATTTCGACTCTGAGAACCACCAATCTGTCAGCGACGAAGTGTATGACCAGCAATCCAGCACTCCACCGCAAGAGAAGTCTCTTTTTGACTCCGAGAATCACCAATCTGTCAGCGACGAAGTACCTGAACATCTCGATTCCACAACCCCTTCAACCGAGAATATGTTACCAGGACGTTTTCTGGACATCGAATCGCTATGTGAGTTGTTGAAAACCGAATCTACCCCAATCTCCACAATTCCAAAAGGTGTCAAAGAAAATGTGTACTTTTCTTATCAACAATGACAAGAATGTTAAGAAAAGAATGCGTAGAGAGAAAAGCAATTTTGAAGATGATTGTGGTGTATGGCTTTCAAAAGCATCGTCAACAAAAAAGACTATCTTTCATTGTGTAAACGGAGCGTTCAAAGTTATTGAAATGAAGAACGGACAGTACTCCACTAAACGTCAGAACGAGTGGGTTCCGCTAGAGCCTCAACCAGTTGATGATGATGTCATGATAATGAGGCGGTTCTGTACATCCCTAAAGCGAAAAACGGACTATAAAAAAGGGTCACCTGGATTGAGAAAGCCTCTTCAGCAATGGGCGTTACCTGCACGGGTAAAGCTGTTGTTGAATATCTTGGTACATTCCCTTCAACCATAAGTGTACACGGAAACAGCAAGAAAGGTACCGGCAGCGAGTATGTGAAGACGTGCGCAACTACAAAAGAAAAAATAAACGACCGAATTAAGAATGAACCTCCCCGAAATGTATACTGTGATATGGTACTAGATGACTCCATGGATGCTCCAAGGAATCTAAAGCAGGTTCAAAACTTTAAACAGGCACAAGCCAGAGAAAACAAATTACCTGGTACAAACAGAAAAAAACACTACAGATGATGTTCAAACAATTATGAACATGCTGAACCACCATCCATTCATCCAGGAGATTGTCCAAACGAAGGGGAAGCCACCGATGGTTATTTTATACACGGACGACCAATTAAAGGATATCAAGAAGTTTTGTTTGACTTCTGAGAACACATCCATACTTGGAGTGGATCGTACTTTTAATCTCGGAGCGTGTTTTGTAACTCTAACAGTTTTTAAAAATAGTTACTTACTGCGACGTTCAACTCAGTTATCACCAATAATGCTGGGTCCTTTGTTCCTGCACTGGGATGGTACATGTCAAACTTATCAACGTTTCTTTTCGCATCTACGCACAAAATTTGACGCCAATTTCCACACGGAGGTTGGCCTTTGTGACCTTATTATTGGCTCAGACGAGGAAAAAGCCATCATGAAAGCAGTGCAACAAAGTTTTCCGTATGCGACCCAGCTTCTGTGTCAACGCCAGCTAGAGCAAAATGTCAGAAGGTATCTGCAACATAAAGTAGGAGTACCTGATCAGTTAAAAAATGAGATAACTTCTCTAATCTTTGGAAAAGATGGATTGATTAATTCGAAAGATCTTGTTGATTTTGAACTTACATCCATGGAAATGTCTAACAAGTTCTTGGACATGTAGCTCCTAACTTTGCATCATATTTTGACAATTCCCTAGTGCCGAGAGTTCGAGATCACATTTGCAAGCCCAGAATATCAGGAAATTGTGTACCACTGAATTGGACAAACAACAACTGTGAATCAATTAACAATATTCTGAAGCTGTCAACTAACTGGAAATTGTTGAAATTGCCAGATTTAATTGAGAAGCTGTATTCAATTGTCAAGCTACAGTATGCAGACATGAGACGTGCTCTCCATGGACATGGCAACTTCGAACTGATTCGAAAATTAAATTATTTGGTATCGCCCCACAACGTATGGTGTCAAAAAACTGAAAGTGAGAAAAACAGTCATTTCCAAAAGTTCATGTCAACTAATGCTGCAAGAAAGAAAAACTGTAACATCAACTGATGGGAAATTGGATATAACCAGGGACACGCGCGGTTGCCAAGAAACCAGGACAACGTAAAAGGGTCCGTGCTGTGAGGACCAGAACTCATAATAAGAGGCATAAAGTTGATCAATAAGATGTTATGGTAACTTATAAAATATAATTTATTTTTGGAGAATATTAGTTTATAAGGATAACATATAATAATTATCACTTACTTGCTAGTATCGATGGAAGCAGTAGGTTTTGTTAACCTTTACCTCTTCAGGCCAGCCACAAAACTTGCTGTTTCCCTCGGTACTAGTAAATATATTAAGTTTTTGTTATGTACCAAATGTTTTAAGCCAAGAAAACTCAATTGCCATGGTTATGCCAAGAATGACAATTTTGAGATTACTCTCCGATATACAAGCAAGCAAATGCTTTATTATGCTTATGCAGAAAATTGAGTTTTCTTAGCTTAAAACTTTTAGTTTACAACATTGATATATATTAAAACTGTATGGAGCCTCCTCTAACGCCAGACGAATGTCTAACTCTGTCTAACGCCAGATGAATTTACTCGTCAAGTGACCTGTGCACATTGAAGATCACTTTTTAGAAATATAACACATGAACTAGCTGATATTCATCGACTTCAATAGACCATTTTCATAAAGATAGCGGCTAACACATAGTAGCACATTTCTCTTTTTTCATAAGTTCAAGATGTTCTGCTTATCTGCACATAAGCCTGTGAGGGAAAGCTGGAAATCCAGTCCGTTTATAAAAAAATGACCTGCTCTTTGGCCGCCATGTTTATGAAATATGTTTATTAACGAAATTTATTTGATATATTATACGTACATTAGTCATTTATACAAGAGAATGCCAAGACAGAATATATATATATATGTATATATATATATAATCACAGATTCTCAATTATATTGTTCAGATATTGAACACTCAAAGATACATTCATTTCATCATATATTGTACATGTACATATATTTATTTATAATAAGTTGTATTATAGTGTAATAAAACAACACGATGACAATACGCAAAAGTTTAAAAGTAAATTCTTACCTTTATTATCTTTATTGAGGGTTTATGATTGTTCCAACAACAGTCATGCAAATATGCTATTGCCTATACTGGCTATACATGTAATCCATCAATTTATATAATTTACCAAATAATATACCAAATAATACCATCAACAAAATCTTTTAAGCTGGAGATACATTAAGTTCTTTGTATTTGTTGGAGATACATTATTGATTTTAGAAATAATTTATCATTCAAACAGTCGAAATCTTCCTTTCAAGAAGCGACTTAGACTTGATTTTCTGGTCTTCAACTTTTGGTATGGCTTTTTATACTATTGTCTGCCTTTTTGCCGGTATTTGTCAAAAAGGCAGACAAATACCGACAAAAAGGCAGACAAATACCGACAAAAATTTTGTCGGTATTTGTTTGCCTTTTTGTCGGTATTTGTCTGCCTTTTTGTCGGTAATTAGTACCCCCCCCCCCCGCAGAGAAAACTATATTTACGATTTTTAGAATGTCATTATTAGTTATTCTTTGGATATTTGGGACTTTTTTGGCATATAGGCCTTACTGCCCCCCTGGTGGAAAAAATCCTGCGTATGGCCCTGTAGTTAACCCTTTAAGTTGCATTGTGCCCAATGCACCCTACTTTATTATTTTACTCTGTCTATATTAATGCCAGACAATTTTATTCATCAAAGGGAGAGGGAGAGCACCGATGCTTGGTGGGTTAATACCTCTGTACAAAACACTTAGTAATGACCGGCATTACAGCATGTACAGTATATTAGGGATGTGCTGTACATGACTAGTATATCATGAAACCCTAATTAGAAAAATGTAGATTGAAGTGGTTGGGTATTGTTTTTCCGGTACATATTACTTACTGGTATTTTACATCTTTTTCCAGATTAAATTTACACAATGGGTGATTCTGACAGGTATGGTATATCCATTACTATTTGACCACTGCATATATTATGATTATGATTAGCATTTCTATAGTGCAAATTTACATGTGGATATGATCAAATATGCTTTACATCAAGTATTATATATGCTTTACATCAAGTATTATATGTGCTTTACATCAAGTATTATATGTGCTTTACATCAAGTATTATATATGCTTTACATCAAGTATTATATGTGCTTTACATCAAGTATTATATATGCTTTACATCAAGTATTATATATGCTTTACATCAAGTATTATATGTGCTTTACATCAAGTATTATATATGCTTTACATCAAGTATTATATATGCTTTACATCAAGTATTATATGTGCTTTACATCAAGTATTATATATGCTTTACATCAAGTATTATATATGCTTTACATCAAGTATTATATGTGCTTTACATCAAGTATTATATATGCTTTACATCAAGTATTATATATGCTTTACATCAAGTATTATATGTGCTTTACATCAAGTATTATATATGCTTTACATCAAGTATTATATATGCTTTACATCAAGTATTATATGTGCTTTACATCAAGTATTATATATGCTTTACATCAAGTATTATATATGCTTTACATCAAGTATTATATGTGCTTTACATCAAGTATTATATATGCTTTACATCAAGTATTATATATGCTTTACATCAAGTATTATATGTGCTTTACATCAAGTATTATATATGCTTTACATCAAGTATTATATATGCTTTACATCAAGTATTATAT